CAATTGTTACCCAAAAGACAACCTAAGAGGATGGGTGAATTAGATTTTTACAAATAAAAATAATAATACCCTAATAAAAATTATGACTAGCACAGTAGATAAATGTAGTTAATCAAATAAAAATAATTAAAACAAGTGTTCTAACAATTATGTCAGTTAATGATTTTAGCACAGTGAAAATGTGAAATATAGCTATGGAAATTTAAATATGATAAAGAGATAAGGGAGAGAGAGGCGAACAAATTTATAGTGGTTCGGCTTTAACTCGAACTGCGTCCACTCCTCAAGCTTCACTTGAGATTTTTCACTATACTCTAACTTCACAGGGTGCTAGCAACCTTTTCACAGATGGAGCAATTCTCCACAGATTTTACACAGACTTTCTAAGTCAAGAACACTGAGTGTACTACACTCTTACAAGGTTGAAAAGAATGTATTTTTGCTTTCACAGAAAGCTACAAGAATTATCTCTTAAAGATAGATATAAAAATGAAACTCTGATTTTTCTGTAAATCTCACACAGGAAAGATGGGTTTAAAGCTATACGTCTCAGTGTATAATTTCTGAAAGAGGATGCAAACAAAAATTGAAGAACACTTCTCAGAGAATTTTTCAAAGAATAGATGTGAGTGATTATAGATCAAAGAATATTTTCTTATTTTTTTTTTGTAACTTGTTTACATTAGAGGCTTTGATATATATAATGAAACTTATAGCCGTTTATAGCCGTTGTACTCCATCATTACTAATTTGAATATCTTCCATTCCATCATTACTAATTTGAATATCTTCTACTTGAACCTTTTGGCCTACTGCTATGCTGGGCTGTTTGAACCTTTGTTTTGGGCTATTTGAACCTCTGGTTTGGGCATTATTTTTGGGTTGAAATGAATTCTTGATTTAAGCAAATATTAAATACATTTAAACAATATTTGGGATAAAAGTTTAGGTGAGAAATAATGGGACAAAATAAATTTTGATTCTATTTTTCTCTTTCAAATAAATTAAAACATAATTTAAATAAATCATCAAAATAAATTTTGGATTCTATTAAAACATAATTAAATAAATCATCAAAATAAATTTTGGATTCTATTTTTCTTCTTCAAATAAATTAAATAAATTATCAAAATAAATTTTGGATTCTATTTTCTCTTTCAAATAAATTAAAACATAATTAAAAATAAAGGGCAAATTACAAACACCCCCCTCGAGATTTGGTGAAAATACATATTCCCCCCTGAGGTTTGAGAAATTACATCTCGCCCCCTGAGATTCATATTTTCATAACAAATTGCCCCCTGAAGTTTTTATTTTCATACAGATTCTCCTCTAATTTTTCCTAATTTGTTATGAAAATTTGACCCTTAGGGGGCAATTTATAATTTCTCAAACCTTAGGGGAGAATCTGTATTTTTACCAAACCTCGAGGGGGTGTTTGTAATTTGCCCTTAAATTAAATTATCAAAATAAATTTTGGATTCTATTTTTCTCTTTCAAATAAATTAAAACATAATTAAATAAATCATCAAAATAAATAAGTCTAACATATATAGGTGATCGAGCACCGGATCAAAGCTAGTGGCGATGACCCGAACCCTTGTTTTGTCAAGCTAGCTATTGTTCCTCACTGTGAGGTTCCGAACCGTTATTGTCAAGGCTTTTTGGGTGATCTAATTCCACCATTTTTGCATGTTATATGAAGTTAAGTGTTTGCTTTATAATTTGTTTTCGCTTTGGGATTTAATTCCCTAACATGTCTTTTATTTTGTACTTAGATGTGTTTTGGACCTATGTGTTTATATATATGTTTGGACATGGACTTGAACTTACGTGTGTATCGGTATGTATATATAGAAGTTGTTTGTTCATTTAAGTTCTCACAGCTCTTTGGATATTATGGTTTGATATTTACAGGCTTCCGCCGGCCCCTCTTATTGTATAATTGTTATTACTGTTAAGAAGGTCTTTGGTAATCACGGATTACTGGCCGGTTACGATGCTAAATTCTTACGATGCTATTTTATGAACTGTACTCATGGCATACATAGCATATTGCTACTGACTATGTATGCCATGAGTACAATTCATAAAATAGGACAATCATTCATTCAATAAACATTATCGTTTCAGAAACAAAACTTAGCAATATCATTCATAAAATAATTAACACTTGAACATAGCTTTATAACATTGTTACTCACAGTGGGCTCCTTGAAACATGTGCTAAAAATGCACTAAAGATGTAGCGTTCAACCTAAACAAACAAATTCAAGCACAACTCAATACACAATTCATTCATTCAATTGGTTCTATTCAGTTCGTTGTTTACTTAATCGATTTCCATTTGTTGTTCACTTGCTTGGTTCATTCTATATTTCATTCGTGTTCATGATATGCGAATGCACATGAAAAACACTCTAAAACCATGCAAATAGAGGCCCGAAAAGTAGAAAAGTGGAGTGAAAAACAAAATCGGGACTGCCCTTAAAATCGCACGTGCGAGGGCTCTTGTCGCACATGCGGAACCACCACCACATGTGCGCCCCGCACATGCAATTATTTCAGTAGGTGAGCGGAAATAGGAGAGGCTCTTCTGCACGTGTGGTGCCCCAGGCCGAACGTGTTGTTTGGGTTCAAAATGTGTCCGAAAATTGCTCTTGTTTTTGGACCTTTCTCTTTTCAAATTCTAACTTCATTTTCATGCAATTCAACTCAAAATCTATGAAAATAACCTTGACTTAGAAATTCTAACATCAAACATAATTCACAGCTTTAAATTAACTCAATTTTTTCATGTAAAACAAATCAAACCTTTGAAATGAAATGTATATACATAAACACACAAGTTTGAGCTTTAAATCTTCAAATCCCATGAAATTTCCTTTCAATTTTGAAGACTCATGCATGAAGTGAAGTGTACAAGAACAAAATTTTCATGAAATTATGCATGCATGTTGAGTTTGAAAGCTAATTCACCCTATTGTTCCAATTTAAGACATATTCATGTTAAACTCTTATTCTTTTGAACAAAACTTCTAATTTATGCTTGAATTCATCTTGATTCAACTTAAATCCTATGAGTTCATGTGTATTATAACTCAATTTTATGGGATGAGAGATGAATTCCTACCTTAAGGAATCAATTTGTTGAAGGTTGTGAAGTTCTTTCCCTTTTTTCCTTCTTGAACTCTTTCTTCCTTAGAGGTCTCTACAATGTTTGTCTCCAAGAATTCCCACTAAGTCTCTCCCTTTTCTTATTGTGTTAAAGAATAGGCTCAGGGATATGTAATTAGCCTCTAATTATTCTAGATTTACACTTAAGTGGCAAATTAAATTAAATATCAAATTCACTCGCATTAAATTAATTCTTATCATATTATGATCTCAATTAAACTAAATTGAAATAAACTAATGTGAATTAGGCTCTAATTCTCTACCTAATTAATTGATTCTAACTTGTTAAAATTACCGAATCAACCAGATTTATATCTCATTCTATCCTATCTGTTCACAATAACACAGTTCAAATGATCACGTGACAATCAATAATACTCAACAACACATAATCACATAATTAACAATAAACACATAATCAATATAATTAATTTACTTAATTAAGGAGGTGGTTGTCACACTAAGTGATATGACTAGTTGATAATTAAAAAAGATGTGAAAGAGAAATAACAGATTAAGTGATTGATTGATCATTAAACTTAAAAAAATGATCTAATTTTTTGATTTGAATAACACTGCTCCAAATAAAATAGAGAGAAGCGAGAGCATTTTTTAATAGTAAGTGAATTGAAAAAACCACCAAGCTTTGTAGTAGAGGATCTAGTTAGATTATTGTAGGGTCGCTTAAATCTATGTTAATTATTTGCATTGTTTAATAGGATCTAGTTAGACTGTTGTAGGGTTATTTAAATTTATTTTAATTGTTCGAATTGTTTAACTTACTGAAATTTAAAACTGTGAAACGCATCGTTAATGTAAAAAAAAAAAATTAATAAAACTAACTTAGACATGGATAGCAACACAAGTGCTGCATTTTGCTTTCCAATTGGATCGGTTAATGTATGCTATCAAAATATTCACTGTGTTTAATTTTAATTTTTTAAATTTAATTTTTTACAAATTCAATTTTTTATTTTTTATATTTTTTTAATTTCTAGTGAATATTTTAAAATTTTAAATAATATTTTTATTTTTTTAAATATACCTTACTTAAATATATCTAAAAAGTAAAATATTTATAAAAAAATATTTTAAAAAATCAATAAATACACAAAATATGAAAAATATACTAAATTCTCGTATTTTTTTGTATTTTTAATATTTAGTGAATTTTCTAAAGATGTTTTTCATAAATATTATACTTTTTAAATGTATTTATATTAAGTGCATCTAAAATTTAAACAAAATTGCTTAGAATCCAAAAAATCTTTAGAAATTTTTTTAGTTTGTATCTAATTAATCTTTATAAATATTATTGCTTAAATTTTATAAAAACATCTTTAAATTTTTAATAATTTAATATAGAGAAATGTTAGGGATCATGAAAAGTCTTTCATGAAAATGATCATGAAAGATTTGTGACCCTTAAATTACCTTGATTAGTGTGTGGTGTTTAATTCTAAGTATAATCTAAATGTCACAAATCTTTCATTATCATTTTCATGAAAGATTTTTCATAATACCTAGCATTGTTGTTTAATATAATACTTCACCTATTTATCTTTTTCATCATTTATAATACTATGAAAAATTTGAAATTACTAAATAATTTCCCGTTGCCGGGGGTGGAGGGGAATCAGATCCAACCTCGAAGAAAAACTAAAGCAAAAAATAATAATGAGAAGCTTCATATGTGAAGTGTGAACGCTCCCCGTCATGCGTGTAGGCGTAATCGATTTTTAGAAGCCAACTCAAAAGGCAAAACAGAGAAAGCAAATACTAGTATTTATAAATGCAGAACAGACACGGTTAAGCAACCTGAGTTAGTTTCCCATTCTTAAGAATCCCTTTTAGTTATTTTTGAAAAATGATTATTCCGTCAATATTAGTCAAACTTTTCGCTTTCACAGCCCTTGGTATTGATGGTCTTTCCCTCCATTGATAGACAGGGATTGTGGGTTGTCCTACCAATAATAAAGCAAATAGCAAAAATATCACAAGAGAACTGATGCTCTCATCCTCATCCTCATCCTCATCCTCATCGCAAGAGAGTTAATTTTAATATTCTCCTTGTCATTCTCCTTCCCCTTCATTGAAGATCTCCTCCTCCAACCACCACGATGAACAACGGCAGTACTCATCAAGCTGGGCCGTCATACTGGGGTCCTCCTCCTCCTCCTCCTCCTCCTCCAGTAACAACAGCAGCAGGGAACTCCGAGAAATGGGGGACCCACATCATGGGTGCACCTGCTGTACCCACTTCGCACCCCGCCAATCAAAAGGCCGCCTTATGGACTGCCGGAGGAGGAAGAGGAGGAGGAGGAGGAGGAGGCGATCACTCCCAAGCCCAGCAGACCAACCACCCGTACCTCTACTACTCCTCAGTTGACAAGCCTAACACCACCACCAGTCCCATGGAATGTATTCTCCATAAGTTCAACTCCTGGAGCAAAAAGGCCGAGATCACCTCCCACAATATCTGGAACCATCGTATGTATCTTCTTCAAACAATTTATTCATTCTTTCACAAATTAACACCCATTAAATCCTTCCTTCCTACAAGAAAAAATTTCAAAAAGTCTTAATTTTTTTGTTTTTGTTTTTGTTTTTCTTCTTCTTCCTCCTGTCTGTGACAGTGAAAACAGGGCCATCTGTATCGGGAGCAGCGTGGGATAAAGTGAACCTGACGGCGAAAGCAATAACAGGAGGTGGGTTTGAGTCTTTGTACAAGCAGACTTTCGCAACCTTCCCAAATGAGAAGCTCAAGAAGACGTTTGCCTGTTACCTCTCCACCATCACCGGACCTGTCGCCGGAACTATCTATCTGTCCAACATTCATGTAGCTTTTTGCAGCGATCGACCCCTATCCGTCACTGCACCCTCCGGCCAAGAGTCTTGGAGCTATTACAAGGTAATGACAAACAAATTGAACCCATGCCCTGATATGGAATATAGCACTATTGTAAGCGTTTATTATTATTATTATTACTATAACAATCTCCGTTTTTTTAGTTCTTCTTAGAACAATAATAATTAATAATAATTTGTAGTAGTAACAGAGATCAGTTGATTAATGGGAACAGGTTATGGTACCTTTGGGCAATATCCGCGCCATCAACCCAGTGATCATGAGGGATAATCCATCAGAAAAGTATCTCCAGATGGTCACAATTGACGGCCATGATTTCTGGTTCATGGGATTTGTCAATTATGAGAAAGCAACTCGCCATCTCTCTGAAAGCCTCCGGGGAATTGTAGCACCTGGAATAGCTGTCCAACCGGCCGTACCATGAACCCAAGAAAAAACGACAAGTGAATTATCAGGCATCAGAGATCGTCTGTCTTTTATGCCCAGTGCAGCCTAAATCATCCTCTTCTTATTTTTCTTTTTCTTTTTTTATTTTAATTATTATTTTTGAATGGTTATGGTATCCTGTGTCCCCACCCTCATGCGTTTTGTCAACCAGTAATGACATTATTGATTATTAGGTTTTAAAATTCGTGGAGTAGGCTTAGGTGACTTGGTATTGATGAAATGTTGTATTCCGAGAGAGACCACCTGCTGCGGAGGCTATTTCATGACATAATTTGAATTTGTGACCACAACATTAAACGTTAAAAACCGGCAACTATTTAGGGTAAATTTGGGAAGACTAAATAAGTGTATTTTTTGTCTTTTTGGACTAAAAAATTGAGCTTAAAAATATGGATGTTTGGGTTAATTTTTTGACTTTTTATTGAAAAATGTGTAATAAAAAATTGTAAAAATTGATTTGTAGGGAACCAACTCGCCTGCCTTAGCTTCCATTAGGATTGGGAGTTGTGCAGCCGTAATTGTTGACTTTTGGTGAATAGTGTTAACTTTTTAACTTTTTGAGTAACTTTTTGACTTTTTGGCTTTTTTGGAATATCCCAAACTTGGCCTTAATCACATTCTTATGGTCAAATTGAATATATTAAGGGTTGGTTTGGGAAGTGGGTTGGCTTTTTAATTTTTTGATTTTTTTAACTATTTTAGTTTGAGTTAAAAAGTTTGGTTTGGAAAAGATTTTGACTTTTTGATTTTTTCGACTTTTTTTTGTGAGAGAAGAGTATAATGATTATAGGTTGGATGTGATGCTTTGTTGGTTGTGATTAAAATAGCCTATTTTGTTTTTTGTGATTAAAATAGTTAAAAAAGCCTACAAATCTTCTTCCCAAACGGTGCCTAACTTTGCGTCAATGCAAAACCTTGAGATTAAGGAGTTGTTTGGAATGATCTAAATAAGTGTATTTTTTGATTTTTTATGAAACATGAGTTGTGTATGAATTCAGTTTAAAGTGATGTGGTAGAAAAGTAATGTGATTTAAATAAAATGATGTGATTTAAATAAAATAATAATTTTTAAATTTTTTTAATTTATGCCAACAAGACCTAAATTACAGTACAACACAGCTAGGAGCAGCGTCCAGTCAGACGGTGAGTTTAAATGGCTGTTTAATAGCATCACTGAACATAATAAATTTGGCTCAACTTTTACAAGCAACTTCACAAAATACGGTCAACATAAGCCTATAAACATTCTGCCATTCAAATATTTCCACTATCATCGCTATCGAGAACACAAAATATTTCCCAACAGCTTGAATTTGGGCCATCATAGTTCAGATACTACCTTTCCTGGCACTTATTATAAATAAATGCTATTACACAAATTACATGCGTTTACGTGAAAGGTTTAGTAAAAAATTTAATAATTTATTTAGAATTTTTAACATAATTTCTCATTATAATGAACAAAATACAAGAAGTGAGTTGTCATAGAATCTATAATTGTCTGAAAAGATTCACTATTGTAGACACTTATACATGGTTATTATTGCAATTATATCCTTTCTAAAAAATAAAAAGTAAAAACATTTTATGCATCTGTAAATGGTAATAGGAGTAGGTCTGAGTTCAACTCTAAGGCCCCGTTTGTTTTTTGCTATTACAGTCTGGAGTGGACTGTGATAGATGAATAGGCCCCCAACTCCATGTTTATTTTGGAAATGAAGGTTTGTATTAATAATCCGTTCAGACTATGAAAGCCCTTGGAGGTCCGGATTGATAGTCTGTGCGAGGAGGTGATATTCGAAGTTAATCCGTTCAGCTTAAGGTGTTACCGGACGTCCACCCAAAAATCTGGCCGATCGTCCGGCTGGTCAACCAGTCAATTGCAATTTTTTTTTTTAATATACTTGTTGGGCATTTTTTTTATAACATTAATGTTTAATGTTTTTGTATTTTTTGTTAAGTAAAAATCATAATTTTATTTGTTTTATTATTTTATATAAAAATAATTTAACAATCCACACACTAACAACAATCATCAAAACAAACACAATTTTACTATTTCCCTCATTATTAATCTTTTCACTAATAATCTCCTCACTATCAATTCATTCCATTCTACCTCTGAAAACAAACGGACCTATAAATTGAAGTTAATAGAATCTCAGGCTATTAATAATTAATGACAACATAGGCTTAGAACTTGGGCAATCTTATTATATCAATGCTTACCAAAATGTCAAACCTTCAGATAAGATGAATCCATGACAACTCAATTGTGTCCAGTCCATGCAGATGACAATGAAAAAGAGGATCATCCCCCGGCAAATCATTGTGAAAATATGGACATAATCATCGCTCTATACCAACCCATTTGCTGTTAGCTGTTACATATAACATATTTCTGAATGCATAAAATAACAGAGGTTGGAGGGACTCAATTCTATAATATTGCTCCAAATTTCATTACCTACAACATAGAGTCCATCAAGGCAAATTTTGTGCTACACAAAATAACAAAAAGTAGAGAACAGAAATAACCCTCAAATCTCTTCACTATCAACAAATCACAACTCTTGTTCCAAGCAAACTGAGATATGCAAAATGGTCCAAAATTTCATCAGCATAATAAGAACTAGTTCTCTACATCAGATAAAGAGTAAAAGCAGGCAGTCAGTGGGTTGAGTCAACAGAATTAATACAATTCAAAACTGATAAGAGGTCCCCGATCAAGAAATGTACAGAGACAACTGCAGATGGAGCTTTGGACAGTAGTTTAAGTTGATAGTAATTCTAGAGTGCGCAACAGCAGCCCAAATATCAGCAGCAGATCTCATAATCTCACGTCTAGCTAATCATAGGCGGTGTTTGGGAAGTGAAGTGAGAGGCTATTTTAGCCCCATTCAAGAAAAAAGCCAAATAACCTCAGCCGCATTAAATCAATTATTTATATTAATTAAAAAAAAGCAGCCGGCAGTGGAGACAGCCTAGTCCCATAGATAGGAAATGACAATTTTACCCCTTTCGACCAATTTTGGAAAAAGTGAGTTAGAGACAAATTTGTCATTTTAGCCTCACATCATTTTAAACACATTTTCCAATACAACAACTCAAATAAAAATCCATCATATTTTCCCAAACACAAAAATTAGAATAGCCAAAAAGTCAAAAAGTCTAAATAATAGCCACTTCCCAAACACCCACTTCATTAGAAACTTTCACAAACGAAGTCCTAAAGTAAACAAGGGGGAGGGGAAAAAAACTCTTTGACTAACAACACTAGATTTTGACAAACTATTTGCCTCAAACTGAAGCTAATGGCAGACCTGCTAATGGATGTTACCAAGGGTGTTAGCCTCTTTATTCATTAGCGCTTCTTCTTGCTTCCTTTTGCAGCATTAGATTTTGATGGGGTTGCAACCAGGTAGACAAACGAAGCCATAATGGAGATCACAGAAATCAAGGATCCATACTTTGCCAACAAAGTCTGCAGATAAGAGTCAAGTCGGAAAAGTCAATCAGTTCTGCAGAAGTCCTAGAATTCATTCAAGAGTGCTTCATATTTGACGATAAGATGGATATAAATACATGACTAACAGGACAAAGATATCTCTTGAAAATAAATGAAAACAAAAACAACAAAACATGTTGGACAACCCAAATATATCTTCTTCGATTTTTTATATTTGACATAAACTTTGATTTCTGGCAATACTTTTTTTTTATTTATTTATATTTTTTGTCTCCATCTTCTTGTTCACCCAATGTTGGTCCCACTATTACTCCATTTGTAACATGTAGCTCATTAATTCACTAACCTCTGGCATATGCACTCCTAATTTGTCATATGCAAGTGCACATAATAGTAATGAGAAAAATAACAGCTATAGTGATAAAATTATCTGTATCCTGCGTTTCAAAATTTAAAAAAAAAAAAAATTAATAAAAAAATGGGGGTAATAACAACAATAGGACATACCTTAGCCTGAGAAAATTTGGTCAACGCCAACCACAATGCCATGTAAAAACACAAGAATGTCACAAAGTGAACAAGGGGCAGTGTGTCTATAAAGAAATTGATTGATAAATCTATTACTTGAGAGAGACCTACCCACTCAAACTTTTTCACCGGAGGTCTGTCTGCGAGGATATCTAAAGGCAGAATTGGAGTCGAATAAGCCTCCTGAAAATGGTAATAGTGAAAAGATTGCAAATCATTCACATTAAACAGATAAATACATGTATACACATTTTTCTATATATACAAATGAAATGGCTGGAATGGCAAACCTGTAGAGCAGCCTTTGTGGGGATGCGGAATGTGATAACTGCTGGTGCACCATAGAACAGTGCTTGTACTTCGGACTCCAATTCAAAATCATGCGATACAAGAGCGCCACTGCCGATTATACAAGTTAGCATGATAAAAATAAAGATATTAATTCAACAAATTGGAATATGGAGTCTCTGCAGAATGTGAAACTCACACATCAAGCCTTTCCCATGACATTGAAGTGTTTCCACTGATAATGTGAAAAACATCTTTGGACCAGCTATCATCAGTTAGACTTACATCATATGCAGTCCTGAAGATACAATACAACAATGTACAGAAAATACCAAAGTGTAAGAGAGCATAATGTAATCAAGAAAAATATAAAATTACACCCAAGAAAAGTTAGCAATTGTTATTAGGAGGAGAGAGTGAGAGAGTACCAACTATCAACAAGAATCTTATGTAAGGCATTAACAACACATTCCACGAAGTGAAATGGTTGAAAAATTAACCGTGTGATCATAGTTTGCAAATAGATCAGATTGCATTAATTTAAATCTTTATAATCAAATAGTTACTCAAAAGGAGAAAAGGAAACTTGGATAGAACAACTTAGTAACGATGCTCCTACCACCAAAGGCATGCTGGTTGATGGTCCCAGCATATTGTTAGCACAATCAATATCTTCAACTGTGTGCCAGAGATAGTCAATTGCTAAGAATGGTATTAGAAGCCAATGGTACCAAACCTTGTGTTGTGTCCCAATCAGGCGGAGTCAACTACATAAATTATTTTTTGCTATTTCGTTCTGTCAAGGGCCATATGCTCAGTTAAATTAAATAAATTCATATCATTTTTACTACCACAAAAAGTGAAAATGAGTAATAAAACAAAAATCAGTCTCTCCTTCACATTAACTTTCATTATTTAGAACCATTTGAACACAGGAATCCATTAAATACTAAGAAGTAAAATTTTCAATGTGTAGCAGCAATGAAACCAATACCCTTTCCTTGATCAAACCTTTTTTTTAAATATCAAATAGTTATGACAGTAAAGTAAGAAAAATGAACCCAAATCCTTTCCATAACTACAATTGTCAATTGAACATTTGCCTCTGATGAAAAAGCAAAAAGTATCTCGGTTCCAAAGGCAAGTAGCATATGCTAATTTTAGGTTTGCAAGCAAATGCAACTTACGGAAATGATCACTACTCTCGATGAACTTTATTACCAAGGAAAAGAATACTGAGGTTTTTATGTAATAATTTTTACATAAAAACTGAGGTTTCAAAAAGGAACTTGTGTAAAATTTGATATCCAATTTTAAAGTAGTGATCAAGCTTTCCCAGGCATTTTTATTTTATTTTCTTTTATAAAAGTAAACTATGTACAAGAATTAGAATAAGTAAAATTAGTGAATAAGAAAATAAATCACAATCAATCTCCGTAAGAAGATAAACATCCACAGTTAGTTAGAATATAAAACAGAAACAGTATAGAGCTAAATTAACCAGCATCCTCCAAACAATGAATATGCAAATTGTGCAATCAAAGAACATAATTAATCTCATATAAGATCATCACGAATTCACTCGCGGTAAATAAAATGACACTATCATGAATCCAACGCACACATGAAATCAATGGGTGTGTTTGGTTTGTGTTTGTATGGTTTGTGTTTGTAGAGTAGATTTTGAGTTAAAAAGTACGAAAAACTTGTTTGTTTTGTTTGTTTGTTTTTTTTTTTTTTTTTAAAAATTATTTTGGAGAGAGAGTTTTAAAAAAAATGATTGATTTGATATAGGTAACTAAACAAAATTTTGAGATGTTTTTTAAAAAAATTTGTCTGGTTTGATTATTCTTGAAAATTTATTTGTAGAGAATTTTTCTCAAAATTTTTTCTGGAAAACAAACCAAACAATGCAAGAGGAAGGGCTGAGTCGATCTAGAGATAATTTCAGAGAGATCAACGAAGACTAAAGAGAAAGGAAATGGTGGAATGGCATACGCAGATCCTTGGTTGTAGATGTCGATGGACGCGGAGACACGTTCGACACCGGACTTGAGCCTGGTGAGAGTGGCCTTCTTGTGGGCGACGATGAAAGGGGCGTCCGAGCTCGCCAGTGTCAGGAACAGAGCTGCTATCAGTACGGAGACCAGGCATTTCGCGATCTGAGTCGCCATGGTTGAATTGAACGGTTCGTCAAGTTGTTCAAGTTTTTTTCCAAATAGAGAGAGAGAGATTGGGACAGTATCAGACTCATATCATATCATTTAACAAGTAGGGTTTAGACCGTAATTTTCTCTATCGAATTGGTCTAATCCGATCCGATGGCTTGTAAGACGACATCGTTTTTCTGACCTAACTGGGCCGGGCCTCGTAATTCACTTATTGGGTCAAGACCATGTTCAGAGGTGATATACATATACATTTACATATTGCGAACACAAATGCTGCTTATATTATGGCTTGAAAAATATTTAAAATTTAATATGCAAATTGTGGATTAAATTTATCTTGGACTTGGGTCAAGTCTACACCATATCAAATTTAAATTTTAAATATTTTTTTCTAGATATATATATATATATATATATTTAGATACATAACATTTCTATATTACATATTCTTAGGGTTTTGTTTATCACAAATATAAAGAAAATGATGCTTATATTTCACATAGTTTCACACACATTTTCCCTTTCCCTTTCCAAATCCCTCTCCAAATCCCCCAACCAAACACACCATTAGGGTTTTGTTTATCACAAATATAAAGAGAATGTAATCATGAGGATATTTTATGTATAGGTAGTTGATACAATCACATTAAATATAAAATACTGCAACAATTTTGCAGGAAATACATTTAAAACTTACCTAGTTTATTTTCTTGATCAAAGTTTCTCTTTTGTTGCCATGCTCACCAGTTGGAATAGCTGGTGCAGGAGAGCTTTCTATGGTTAAGGTTTACATTCACGTGTCTTAAATGGGTGGTTAAATAAATTTCTTATGACTTAATTAAGACATGAATATCTCAGGACATCCACGTGTCAATCTAATAGAAATTGATTTGCTGCTACACTGCAGACTAATACTATATATAATGATGACAGTTCAATGGCCATGCATGCTTGCATTTTTTGCATGCAAGAGAAAGCACCAATCCAATTACACGGAGAGGAGAGGAGAGGAGATAATGTGGTGTGTGGGATATTGGTTGTGAAGGGAATTAGAAAGAGAAGGACTAGCATGAAAGAGAAGAGCCAGTGAGGTTAGCCAAGGAGACTGCCTGAAACCAAACAAGGGATCAATATATATATATATATATATGTACCGGATCGGATGGAGTGGAGCAGGCAAGTCATCCTTGGCTACCAAACAATTAGACTCTTTATCTTCATGTAAGGCCTCTCTTCCTCAGCTCTCATATATTATGAAATCATGCTTTCAATCAATGGGATATGGGATGCCAATACTTACTTACTTGCCGCAGCCTCTATTTATAGCCATAGCATCTAGATTCTGATATGTATTGCCACGTAATTTCTGTCCTCATTCCTCAAATCAATTTGCTTGATCCATATCATATCTCATTTTGCATTATTTAGCTGCCCATAAAGGAATTATATTTTCTTTATATCCTCCTCTTTTTCTTTTTTTCTCCCCCATTCTGCCTCTGATCAGCTGCACGCTATAGCTCAATCGCTGGCCATAAAGAAAACGAATATATTCTCGTGAAGGGGTTGCAGGAACACACCCACAAAATGTAATGACTTGGGATGTCCATGATGGAGATAGGATTTCTACAAAGGAGGAGATTTTTCTTCTTCTTGAAAGATTCAATCTGGCACTACCCACCAGCTGGCACCCTTGGTCAGTCAACTTGCACACTGAACCTGTTTAATTTTATATTTATTTTATGTATATATATATATATATATATGACCCTTTGCATCCTTCGAGAGCCAACTACTCCCGGGATGGGCAATATTGGAAGGACTCGGACATGAATATCTATAATGATTCAAGTTCAGCATGGTTCTGTTTGCTTCCTTTCCAAAGAAAAATGGATTTTAATTTGTTATTATGATCAGGGCCGCAATTAATTTCTTCATAGTGTAGTAGTAATCTTTAGTATCAACTAAAAATTGCTTCCCCACAATTTCAAAATTTTCTCCTCTCACTTTCATCTTTATTATGTTTTTGTTCCCTAATATATAATTTCCAAATCATTAGGTATTGTGAATTTGTAGCATTAAGATCTTAGTTGTATCAAACATCACCAGTTGAATCCACAGCCAAAAAAAAAAAAAAAAAAAAAAAAAAAAATACCAGTTGAAATAACCTCATGTGAAGTTAACCAACTTTTAAATAATCATTATGTCATTGGGATTAGCCATAAAATTATTTTGTATGGCTGGAGGCTTGCTTTGCTTATCAAGTTTAAGCAAAATTCATAACTGTAAGAGCCTTTCAGGCTTTGGTTGAACTTAGCTTGTAAGTTAACTCTGCGGTATCTGGGTTGCTTTTGGGTCTGCACCCTATCTTTTGGTGCTATGTGACCTTTTCTTTTTCTTTTTTTTTTGTTTTTGAGTTTTTATTTTTGGCATTGAAGTATTTTATTCTATGACCTTCGTTATCTATATGTTTTGGAATATGATGTGGAAGATTGTTTTGACCTCACTTTAAGCACATAATCTGATAATGATATGTTTGAAATTCGACCATAAAGTTGCAGGCTATCTGCTGCGATAGAGCACCCTGCACCTCATGAAGTTACCTCTCTAACCTTGTTTTCCTTCACTTTGTGGAATTAATATTCCAATGGTGGCATCAATTCATTTGGAATGTCCCAACCCCAAAAAAAAAAAACCACACACACAATAAAGTCAAATGCTTTTCCCACTAACTAAGATTTTCTTTTGATGGACTTCATGTTTAGACTCACGTTTGATTGATAGAGTTATCCCGAAAGAATTTGAACAACTATATGCAATTGCAAAACAATACGAAAAATTGTTGACAAGCCGTGGTTTTTTTTTTCGTGGAGGGGGTTTGTATGATATTAGATTCAAATGTTGTGTTTTTTGGATTTATATAGACATGATTAATGATATTATTTGGTAAGAACGATAAATTATTATTTTGAATAATATTTGTTTTGCCCTAATACTATCGTATTGCCGTTTGTCAAAAAAAACATTGGAGGTGGCTAGCGACAGCTAGCTGTAGTGGTAATATAGATAAATAGGTAGATTAAGTGGACAGACAGTTAACACATGAACAAATAAGTAAATAGATAAATAAATAGATAAGAGTAATATAATTTTTTAAATTGTTATCTTTATGGCCCAAAAATATTAGAGTTTTGGACTATTGTCTTAAAAGTTTCCAAATTGAATTTATGATCTAGTGTCAAAAACAATATCAACTCACCAAATTTTTTTTTTAAAAGTCCAGACTTGTGAAAAGGCTTTCTTAATTTACTGACAATAATATAGCAAATAACGTGTGTGTGTGTATAATATAGCAAATAACGTGTGTGTGTGCGTGTGTGCGAGAGAGAGAGAGTCACTAACATAAAGCCTAACTCTTTTATCATATCACTAGTGTATGTTCGTACCTTCAGGCACGGTGTAAATAATGTTAGAATTATAATATAATTGTAATCTCAACACTATTTAAATTTATTTTTTAATTTGATAAAATCACAAATTTATTATAAAATTTTGAAATTCTCACAAAACTCCTCACGAAAACTCACTTTTACTTATATAATATATAGGTAGATAGATAGATGTGTCTGACATACATATAATTTTTACGGGCATACATACAATATTGCTTTTGTTTATATAATTTTATGAAAATTGCATGTATGGAAATTTGTGTAAAATAAATAAATTTAATTTGTAAAATAAATATGGAAATATGGAAATATGTGTAAAATATATTGAACAAAAAAGAGAAAATAAAAAAATAAACAAATAGAGAGAAAAATAAAAACAGGAGAAAATAAAAAAATAAAAAAAAGAGAGGGAGGAAGGTGGGATCATGGAAGGATGGGTGACAAAAGGAAAAAGTAAAAGAGAGAAGCGGGAAAGTAAAAAATGTATATGTAGGACATTTTTTGAAAAATATATCTCAGCCATTGTTTTATAATTTGAACAGATCTAATCCATCCAAATGTCTTAATATGACAAAAATATATTAAAGATTCAAAAACCGTCCTGTTTTATTATATAGATTATAGGTTGAATTATAAATTATAAATTATAAATTACATGTTTCTAATATTTCTCATAAAAATATATATACACTAAAAAAAATTACTTTATAATACGTTTACATTGTATGGGACCTACTTGTCACTCTATAATTTTATGTATAATTTTCAAGTATTAATTTTTTTTTAAAAAAATCATTCATAATATTCAAAAAGACTTGTGAAATATTAAAATTTACAAAATAGCTTACAAATTTGGTATAAACATTGCTGGTTTGGGATCTACTAAAAAAAATAAAAAGCTAAAAAGTTATCAAAAAAGTCAAAAAGTTACATTATCTCTATGCATTGGGCGGCAAAACCCTGTCTGACTCTGTACAGGGTAAAATTACGTTTCTGCCCTTCCTTTTTGTTGTTGCATCTGAGTCGAAGATATCACAAATATACGCCACCAGAAAGCCCCTTTCATTCTCCAATCTCCATTTGCAAGAACGGCAAGCAAGACAAAAACCCTCAGTCGGTTGAACAAGTCTAGTCCGTCAAAGACACACCGCCCATTGCCGGAGATCCGTCGCACCCTTCAGCTTGCACCACCGCCAAAGCCATGCCAAAGGCAGACCTCGACGCGATCACCTGAAAACTGTAACCGACAAGAAGGACCATCCCTCGTCCAGATCTGCACCACCGCTGACTAGATCTACACTACTTCGGCCCGTATCCCCCAAAGAACAAGGTAACATCTCTTCCACACCACTGATTTTGGGCCTGTGAACCAATTCTATACATTTCCCCATTTTCGGTGATTTGGTAGGTGTCACGACCCAAACCCATCCCTATGGGTTTAGTACCGTAACCGGCCAGTAATCCGAGATTACCGAAGAAGGCCTGCTTAACAATAGAACAGTAATACAGAGTACAGGGGCTGGCGGAAGCCAATACAGTAAGTAAACAATGTCCAATGAGCTGTGAGTCTGTATGCAAAAAGATTTTTCATACACATATACATGAACAGTATAGAACATTATGTATAACATCTACAGTCG